TTTTATTGCATATTCTCGTAGCTTATCTTGAGAGCTTTCTGAAACAATAATAAAGTACTATTTCGTTAAAGTACATTTTGAGTTATAAGGCTTGAAAGTTACAATACCGTTGGCATTATTCAAAATGTATGTACCACGCGGAGGTTGCCCAGTCGAATTTACATTTCTTTTGTGTTCTGAGAAAGATCGGAAGATAATCCAGCCAATGAAGGCAAGATCGGTAGTTGATCTAGTCAATGAAAACAAGATCGGATCATCTTTTGATGTCTTCATTGGTTGAATCATTCTCCGATCTTCCTCAGAATACAAAAAAAGTGTAAATCCGACTGGGCAACCTTTGCGTGGTACAGACGGCGTCATTAATTCGAAGAATAGGCGCGGGGATCACATAAAAAGTCCAGTTGATCCAAATATCCATTAGTCCCAAAATCGGGTGTCCAGTTGTGGACACCCGATTGCTACTAGTTAATTAGTACGGCGCCCGTTGGCGCTACGAGCAACCGCCCCGCTTGCCCTCCGATCCCCGCGCCTATTCTTCGAATTAATGACGCCGTCTGTACATCTTGAGTAATGCTAATGCCAACGGTATTGTAACTTTCTAGCCTTATAACTCAAAAAGTATTTTAACGAAATAGTATTTCATTATTGTTTCAAAACGCTTTCAAGGTAAGCTACGAGAATATGCAATAAAAACTGAGAAGTTTTGTTTAAAAAAGTCTAAGTAACCTTGTTCTGACCTTGACAACGCAACCCAAGGTCAAATCAATGACACCATCTTAAGTTCTCCTCAAAATCATAAAACTTTTGTTTGAAACATTTGTCAATTTAACGTAGTGTTTCTGAGGTATTTGAGTGACTTTTTTAAAATAAGACATTCTGTATAATTAGGGTAAAGGTGTCTATTATAAGATGGCGAGTCGCCTAATACGAGATAGCGACCTATATTATGTAAACGGCTATAAATTCATAACTGCATATTTTTAACACACAAAAAATATCAAACTTTTTGTTAGTGTCGCTTGTAGCTGAAAGTGATTTGGTGTCTGTGAAGGAGTTATCACTTAAGCGCAGAGAAAAAAAAATAGTCATTATAACTTTAAAATATGTATTTAACACTTTTATGTCATAGTCTTCACTGTTATTTCAATTCACTTAAATGTGCACTATAAGTGATTTATCATGTAGTTTTGTTAATTTATTGCATATTTTGTCGGTATAAACTTAAACTTTCTACAATTTTATAGTCCTTAATATCAGACACGCAGCTGCTCTTAATATGAAGTACTTTATATTAGGAACAGTCCAATTCTTTATTTTGTCAAGTTCTTTATTTGATGTATTAGTAAGTTTTTAATAATTATATTTTCAAATGAAGGCAAAGAAGAAGCAATCGTGGTTTTACAGTCAATTAAAGACTGTTAAGGCAATAAGAAGCAAACAAATAAAATATTCAAAAGCATCTAAACAATTCAGTGTCCTAAAGCATACTATTGAGCGATATGTTAAGAATGACGATAATTCTGTTGTTGCTAAGATTCTTATAAGAAAGAAACCTCTTGTATCTCATATTAGGAACCATCTTTTTGAATCAGCAAAATCGGCATTTTTACTAAAAAAAGTTCACATAAAACAAAATATAGCTATTATCGATTGCTAACTTTTGGCGATAAAACTTAAATATATATCCCATAATTTTGACATAAAATCAAGAAGTAAGAGTATATATTTAATAAATATATATATATATTACAAGCCTTTTTTTTAAAGGCTTGTAATTATTATATCTATCTATCTCATAGTAGGCATCTTTACCCTGTATATATATATATATATATAAAATTGCGCATCAGTTGGTCTGTACTTTACGTATCAAAAACATCGAATTAATTCAATAAAAGCGATACACACGTCACACAAGCTACACAAATTCATAGAAAATATCGGTATCAGAAATATATACTGTGCACACATACTATAATAGATTTAAATTTTTTTCAATGTATATAACGCACACTCACTCTCTCTCTCTCTCTCTCTCTCTCTCTCTCTCTCTCTCTCTCTCTCTCTCTCTCTCTCTCTCTCTCTCTCTCAAAGCGGCATGCGCACTAACTACTTATAGCAAACCATTGATAATATCATTGAGTACGGTTATATCGCGCGCGTTACGTCTTCCGTGAAATTAAATNATACACACGTCACACAAGCTACACAAATTCATAGAAAATATCGGTATCAGAAATATATACTGTGCACACATACTATAATAGATTTAAATTTTTTTTGTTATATTTTAAATATATTTTCTCTCTCTCTCTCTCTCTCTCTCTCTCTCTCTCTCTCTCTCTCTCTCTCTCTCTCTTTCTCTCTCTCTCTCTGAAAGCGGCATGCGCACTAACTACTTATAGCAAACCATTGATAATATCATTGAGTACGGTTATATCGCGCGCGTTACGTCTTCCGTGAAATTAAATATGAACAAATGATGTGCTCTTAAAAACAATTATAATAAAAATTATTTTAATATTTTATTGTTATTTTTGTTGTTGTTATTATTGTTATTGTTATTATTGCAGAATAAGTATTTTTTTGGTCACACATAAAAATATACGTAGCACTTCAGACGGACTTGAGAGAAAAACCGATCTTCCATGCGCACGAGATCTGCACTTGATAATCGCACACCAGTACGCACATCCTAAGTGTTCCACGTTTATCACGCGACTGAGCCCGATTCTCTCGCGGCTCGTCGAATAATAGCAGACACGACGTCGGCCTACTGACAGTTACCGACGTCAGCATCGGCGGTTTGCAGATTTCTCGGGTGAAGCGAATTAAAAATGGATCGCACGCCTCTCCGAGTATCTCGGGCGCGCATGTATATACACGCGTCCGTTTTTAAGATCTTCTTTGGGCAGTGCGCTATTAATCATTATAAATACTCTCTCTCTCTCTCTCCTCTCTCTCTCTCTCTCTCTCTCTCTCTCTCTCTCTCTCTCTCTTTTTCTCTCTAGAGATGTATACTGTTTAGATATATTATAACGTTTCTCGTGTATGCGCTTATAAGAATACTTTCTAACTTTGTAAACAACATATATTTGCATGAATATATGTAGCATATGCATTCTTGCCTATAAATATTAAGACAATTATCAGAAACTTTAAATCTTCTCAAAGTGTATTTTACCATCAAAAGTTTTTTTATTTCTTTAATGTTTCTTTTACCGAAAAAATTACCTTTTCAAAAAAAAGGTAAAACAAAGTGCCAAGTACACGCGCTACACGTATCTCTAAAAAAAGTATTATTATATTTTATTATACTACATAGAAACTCTCTTTCTCTACAAAATCTAGTCTACAAAAGAAATGATATCAGAAAGTAGTGCCAAGGAAATCTTGTATGTTTATACATTGTTCCAAAATGAAATAGTATAAAACGGCCAAAAGTCGAAAACCAATATGGAACTGTTTTCAAAATAAAAAATATTTAATGTAAAAACCTTGACGCGGCTGCACCGAAAGCTATTGAACTAAAATTTAGCCTGATGTGATAGCTACTCAAAAGCTTTTTTTATTAAGCGTACAATTATAAAGTATGTACTTTTCGAACTCTTTTGATAAAATAACTTTGTCTTTTTTTTTTATGCAGCCGCGCCAAGTCTTTTTCCATTAAATATTTTTTATTTTGAAAACAGTTCTATATTGGTTTTTGACTTTTGGCCGTTTTATACTATTTCATTTTGTAACAATGTATAAACATACAAGATTTTCTTGACGCTACTTTCTGATATCATTTCTTTTGTAGATTAGATTTTGTAAAGAAAGAGTTTCTATGTAGTATAATAATATAGTAATACTGTTTTTAGAGATACGTGTGGCGCGTATACTTGGCGCTTTTTTACCTTTTTTTTGAAAAGGTAATTTTTTCGGGATATTATTCATTTTTGTAGAATACAACACTTCTTTCAATACAATTTAATGTATTTCTTAATAATAACAAGAATACATATAACAGATATACATATATATAAAAATGTGTTGAAAGTACTCTTGCATCTTTTTACTTGTTTTATATGGATCTAATCAAATCGGCAAAAAAGTGTTTGCTATTGTTTTTATTTATTGCAAAAGTATCAAAATGTTTAATTATTTTAAGCAATTAGATATTTTTTTAGTTGGTTTTATGTTTTCGTAATTTTTTGTGACAATGCAACGTAAATTTGACCAGGACTAAATATAGAATTCTCTATGTCCATAATAGCATTGGACTCAGTCCTCGGCTTTTATAAATAATGATTCCATAAAGACAATGGAAATTGTTCTCTAATAACATAAGCTTTTTTCATTACCTGAAATTTAACGCTTACTTTTTCAATTGAAATTCTAACCTGACGATAACCAAAGTTTTACTTTTTTGCGTACTCACTATTTGAAATATTTTGAATAACAAAAGTCACTGTACCAATTGTACCGCTTACAAGGCCCAAGCATTGATATTACGTCTTATCATAATTTTTGCTCTGATCTTAATAATAATTTGTTTTTGAAAGTCCGGCTGTTCTAAAATTATCATTTTCAATATTTGACAATACTTTTAAAACGTTTTTTTATTAAGGTAGTTATTGCGCGACAGTTTTATTCAAAAGTGTAATTTTACGCTACAGAAAAGTATTATTCCTAGAACTCGATTCTCACATGTCGTACGAATAATTCAGACTTTATTTTATCAACATGTCATTAGTATAGAAATAAATAAATAGATTTATTATGCTCAAAACCTATCAAAACCTTTTACTTACATCTATTTAAACAATTTTACTTCTGTTTGCTAAGGCGGTAAACTTTTATTTAGTAGCGACTATCCACGCTTTACATCAAACGGCAGTCTGACAACTTCGCGTGCGTCTAACCAACTCTGTCAGTTTGTTTAGCTGTCAAACAAAACTACTAAAAATGACTTCTCAATTTTACAAATATTAAAACAACGCTTAAAACGCTTAAAACAAAACAATTTTGAGTATGACAGAGGCAAAAAAATCGATGTGTTAAGATCTAAGTTGTGAGAGAAGCGACATTATTGCTGCTGTTACTCGCCTAACTATGCCTTGTCAAGGTACGTGACAACGATATGTAAATTATGTGATCAGCTGTACGTGAGCAAAAATATTTGTAGAAAAGTGTCGCCACATGGTGATGAAGAGGAAATTCACGTTCTACCATTACACACTCTGCTGGCTAAATCTGCAGATTCACGCGTCAGCACGCGTCTGTCTGTCTGACGACGACGTTTCTTAACTGTCTAAACGTATTAATATATTACATTACATTATATTTACATTAATATATTAAATTTACATTAATATATTTCTATTATATTGCTAAGGCATAAAGAAAAAAATCTTAATTGTTTTCTAATGTACTTAAACCTCCAGCTTTTGAAAGAGCTTAGACACAACTCAATCAGTTCAGCCGTTGATGAGATCTGAAAATATCAACAGTGTCATGTGGTCGCACTCGCGTAAATGAGGCACGGGACACGGGCTCGCGCAGAGCGCGCGCACTTCGTTGCGCGTAACTTGGCAAAAGACACAACTACCGTGCCTCTTGATAAAATAATTTTGTCTGTAATCATAATTTATCAAATCTTTTTCTATTGTCAGTAAAATAAAAGAGAAAATGTGCTTCGGGCACTTGATCCGAAGCGTACAAAATGTCTCACGTATTAAGTACACAAATGAGATAACTAAGAGACAATTAATGTGGAAAGCAAATTATAAATATAAAATATGTAAGTTTATGATGAGAAAAAATTTGTTATACAGACTAAATTTAGTATAGTATAGTTGTATAGTTGTTTGATCTAATGATTGATTTATTATTTAATTGTATTAAAAAAAGATTTAGTTCATTCATGTCAAGTATCAAAATTTTTAAATCTATAATTAACTAAAACAATTAAATTAAATTATTTTGTTCAAAATAACAAAACAAAAATTATAGTAGCATTTATTTGTTTTTGCATGTTATTTATAATAGTTATCACATAATATATCAGTAAGTAGTAGCAAATAATATTTGTTTATATTCCAAATCGAACTCACTAAATTGCCGTAAAATTGATAAATATTGTATATTTTTAATCAAACGATTGAGTTACATACAATAAAATTTGTGTTGAGACAATAGCAGATGTCAATTTTTTATTTTAAAGTAACAAAAAATTTTATATAGTTTTAAAATCTTTCAGTGGATAAACCAAACGCAATTGAAAATCAAATAAACAAATTTTTTGTTACATTTTTAGACTAAAAATCAAGATTTATCTGAAAAAAATAATAAATAAAATAAATTCGCGTTACATGAAAATACTGCATTACAGAATCTGTGTATGTTTTCACTAAACCCTCTATTCTGTTGATTGAAAATAGTGTTTTCTTTATAATAGTAACAAATTATTTTATATAGGACTAAATGGTTTATTTGGATAAAATACATTTTGCATTTTTCAACACATGTTGTTTTTAAATATATATACCTAATATATGTATATTTTAGATTATATGAATCAATATATAAAAGTAGCACAAAATATATTGACCTGTTTTATTACTCTTATCGATGAATGTACATTTTATCGACTAAATACGCGTTTGGTACGTAGCTCGTGTCATAATTATCAGTAATAAACGAACATATTTATCGATAATTAAATGTGTGTGTAGTCAATATATATGCCATTATTTAGATTACTTATTGCATTTTATATAAACAAAAAGAAATAGTCACAGGTCCTAATTTCTAATATTTATAAAAGAAAGTGTATGTATGTAGATGTATCTAGTCATAAAAGGAAAGATTGAGATCTTTGTGATAAAATTCAAAATGGGCTGAACAACTCACAATTTTATTGTTAATTATTCACTAGCAAGTATCCAGACGTTAGATATATTTAAAAGCAAAAGAAATCTGAAAAAGTTTCTAATTCGGAAATAAAAGAATTTACAACGTCTAGCATTCAATTAATAAATCCGAGCTTTATACGATGTATAGCGCATGTATATAACGCTATTACATCGTGGAGGAAAGCGGTAAAATGCGTACATAGCAACCCTTTGTGGATGTCACGCAATTTTCGTTGCACGATCATGAAGTGACCGGGGAATCGACTTTAATAGACTCATAAACTACGCAATTTTCGCTGCATAAGCGCTAAGCAGCGGATCGACTTCCGTAGATCCGTAATGAAAGAATAGGCAAGCGTGCATTGACAAAATAACTTACGCAATTTACGACTTAACTTTAAAAATATTATTTTTATTATACACAATATATAAATATATGAATAAGTAAATTATTATATTTTTCTTAATTATATATTATGAGATACATTCGGATATTATATATGTTATTATATAACATTATTATATCATATATTATTCAATCTTAAAATATAAATATAAAATATAAGCAAAACGGAACATACATATTATATCTTATTCTTTCAATAGTTGAGACAGAAAAAGAAAAAGAGAAAGAAAAAAAGATAGATAATTTAGATTAAAAAAATATCAATATATATATATATATATAGACGAGTATGTTCAAAAATTAGTAAACGCCAATAGTTATTGAAAAATTAAAATAAAACACGTATAAAAATCATTAGAACGCATTCTTATCCTTACAGATTTCCTCTTGCAAATATCACAAAGAGCACAAAGGACGAACCTCGTTGAAAGCGTTGAATCAAGCGGCGTCCACAAAGAGAGCAACTCCATGACAGTGTCTATTATTACCATACTGTCGATGGATAGCTCTCTTCATAGCGAGCGCTTCGTCTGTGTATCGATGAAGATTCTTCTACATTTCTATTTTTATAATATATACAATATTTCTTATTGCATAACATATTTGTTTCATACATGAAATGTATAAAAACACCATTCACAAGATCTTCGTTAAACATTTAAGAAAATGTATTGTTGTATTGTTGAAAATGTATTTTATTATTCTATTCTATTCAGCATAGATTTTAATCTTAATACGTAGAAGTTATATAGTATTTAACAACGCAATTATATTAAGCACAAGTGTTGTACAATCACACAAGTAATGAAACAGTAAATATTATTATACGAATTTTTAGAAAACATTAGATGAGAAATTGGGATTCTATTATTGTATCTATTATTGTATAATAAAAATGAGGGTTAATATGCATCTTAGATCACACCTCACCCATTTTGTTGCGCTTTAGACATGTAGGGCAGGTTATACTGAGTACTTATCTAAAAAAATTTCGCAGAGGACGGCCTTGGTTCAGGAGATATAACAATTTGACGTTTCAGAATTTTAATGTTTTACTCTAGATATTATAAGAGCTGATATTACGAACAGTGAAAAAACAAAGCTACAAGGTAATTCAAATTGAATTACAAGGTAATTTATAATTAGTCAAGAATCCGTTTCACTATTTCTCGCAGTTTGTTAATAGCTTTCAACATGCGACTACACGAATTTCTAAGTTTCGTTGAGAACAGCGATAAATTAGTAGATTTTCTTGTTGATCGTAAAGTTATTCATGGACATATTAATTGTTCACAGTGTGGAGCAGATGTGACTTTAAATCGCGAACGTATGCTTTTTATGCATTTACCGAACATATACAAGTGATTTTTGATATTATGGCAAAACATTATCTTTAATATAATAAAATATCTGTATATAAGTTATTCTTTATTGTTTCTTATTTCGTTATTGCATAGGACCTAATTAAATGTCGCTTCATGTCAAAAGTGTCTACATGGTTTTTCAAAGAGTGAAGCAAGAGGCACAGCCACTCCCTCTCTACGGGAGAGCAAAGCACTTCCTTGCTACACGCTTACAACGCAAACAAAAAAAGAACAAAAAATAGTAGTATTGTTCAGACACTTTCAATTATCATATAGCCAAAACCAAGGTTGTCCCCCATGAAATTGTTTTAAATAATTACTCGGTATGACCTGCTCTCTCTCTACAATATATCTAAAACGCACAGAAATCGATGAGGTGTAACCTAAACTGTATATTTATTACCAAAATAATTATTACCAAAATTATCTTTTGTATATATCTTTTGTTTTGTCATGTAAACTTAATTTTTAATGAAACTCTCAACAAAATGTTCGCTTACAAATAAGAAACTGTTAACATTTTCATAGTGTCAAAAACATTATTTAATCAAGTTTCGCTTTTTCTATGTTTGCGATTAAGTAAGGACTGAAGTGGGTTGAAACAATTTTTACATTTTCCATCATAACTATCTTAAATTTAACGTTAGGATAAGGACTTTTTTTTATAAACCTTTATTTATCCTTTACTTATTCTTAAAAATAAAACATTCCAACCGCGTATCTAAGTTCTAGAAAATAAATTTTAAGCGAAGTACTTTAACTGTTGCAACCCACCTAGCATCGAGGTAAACTGAAACAGCAGAGAAAGTAGATTGAAACATCTAAAGTTTATATCAAAATAAAATAATATGTATATATTATGTGTAATTGAGATTTGTATCTTAACAAACATTGTTAAAAATGTTTAAGGCATTTTCTTGAATTGCAACATAGTAGCAAATACTTATAAATAATTATTAATTAGATAATTAAATCTCATTTGGTTAAATCAATCATTTAAACTTAACATTTTCTTGAGAAAAAATCAAACATGTATAAACTAGATAATTAAGACCAATGAATGAATATAAGGCCTTACGAGCCGTTCTCAAAGTGTTGAGCGAGAACTTATACATGTATATATATATATGTATACACATGTAACGAATTCACTTGTAAATTTTTAGAAGTGAGTTTTTCGAATTGAATTCTCAATTCTTAAAATCATACGGGATGCTAGATTTGCATCTCACATATGAAAGAATAGATAATTAAGCTTCATTTTGTATCAATCATATAACCTCAACATTTTGGCGTTTTTTATATAAATTAAAAATTAATGTTAAAAAATACCTCCTTATAAAATACAATAAAAGTTTTGAAATATCCAACGCTGGGTAAATTTTAACTTTTATTTTCATCAAAAGCTTTTTTAGTTTTAATAAGTCGATACAGAGAAGAATAATTCAAATTGTATGACGACGCGGCATCTCTAAAGCTCTTTTGCTTTAACTTCTTTTGCAGCAAGCTCATATATTTTTACTCTTGCTAAACCTCGATCAGTCTTACGAACGTATTTATTTGGCATTCTATAACAATAATAAATAATGCCTATACAAATATTATACAATAACAAATTAAAGTGAAATGATAAAAACTTAAAATCGAGATAAATTGAAACAAGGTGTGTTAACCTACTTCGATCATATAAATTTAATCTTTCGATTATATAAATTTAACTTTTTAAATATGAGATGCAAATATAGCATTTTATATGAATTTAAGAATTGAAATCTCAATTCAAAAACTCACTTGTAAGATTTATACGTGAACACATATACAGAGTGTCCCGTAATTGCCGTCTCACCGCTCGTAGACAGGTAGAAGGAGTAAAACTGAGTCGAAAAGTCCTGAATTATTTTTTTCTATTACATATAATATAGGAATAATTATTGAATAAATCAAGCCAATCAGCGCCGACCTTTAGCGCACACCAGGCGCGTGGTTCACTGACATGCGTTCGGCTAAAAATAGGCGCTTAATTGGCTTGATTTATTCAATAATTACTCAATAATTACTTTATTATATGTAATAGAAAAAATGGTTCAAGACCTTTCGACTCAGTTTTACTTCTTCTATTTGCCTACGAGAGATTTTACACTAATTGTCGGACACCCTGTATATATATACACGCATATTTCCGCACAACATCCAGCGAACGGCTTACATGACCGTCTATACATTTCTTAGTTTAGGAACTTTGAAACCTAAAAGTTTCTTTATTAATAACTTAGTTTAAATTGATTTTACTGTACAAACGTCACAGTGACACAAATGCTCATCGCACATCGCCGACATCTGCTGATAGTCAATTAGTTATTTTATATATAATGTATATTAAAACTGCATTGTTGTCCAATCATCAACTGTTATAGGTTTTGAAATATTGTTATTGTTTCAACTTAAATATGTTTCATTTCACCTAGGTCTCCCTTATTTAATATTTTTTGCGTATATTTATTTCATCAAAAAAACAAGATTAAAAAAAAAACAGGTCTTTTAATATTAATACTTTTTATGTTAACATTTGATGATGTTTTTCGGGTTTTTATACCGACGTTTTGTGAACATTTCAGTTCACTTCATCAGGGTTTCAAGAGCAATTCGAGTATTAGGTATCAAAACGTCGATATAAATATGACATTAACGCAGTTTAAATCCGAAAAATATCTTCAAATGTCAATACAATATACCGCGAAAGCATCAAATATATATCAATTTACATGTTCATACATATGTACAATAATTAATTGTTGATATTTTAATCGCTTTACGTAACATTGTGTTTAAAGAGTAGGAAGTTCCTCGAAGAAAGAGGTCTGTTTGCTGACAATAAATTTTGTGCGATAACCGTTATCACGCAAAAGTCGCGTTATGCGCAATATCGCGGCGTGTAAATGTGATGGCGTCGTAATTGTAAGAAGCTACCTCGCGAGCCGGGATTTTAACCTGCTGGCACACAGAAAAGACATTGAATCACCCCATTAAATAAATATTTACACTTGTTCTACTAACAATAGCGGTATTAACAATTCTAGACAAAAACAAAGGCTTTGGAAATTGAGATTGAGTTATTTTCAAAGTGTTTAAGTATGAGAATATTTTTATCCAATATAATATCTAAGTATATTTTTCTATGTATTTTTAAAAATCAGTTGTTATTGTAATTAAAATCATCGCGCTAATTTTATATACATAATACATTCATTTAATATTTCTGTCTCATTCTTGCACGTATGATTAAGTTTCCTTGATCAAATATAATCGAATAAATCCGCAAAATTCTTAAAGTTAACAACGCAGATGTCAATGCGATGATATTAGAAGAAGATGTCACAATATGTATATCGGGTGCTTTCCAGCTACGTACACAGGTGACTGTGTAATACAGTCGTGTTAAGTGTCTGAAATAATTTCACAAAATATATATTAAGGCATCCCGGAAATCGAGACTTCTGAAATTTCGAGAGTCTCCCCAGTAAACACAAAGTAACAGTAACGTAACATTAATGTTATAATTTCCCATTCAACAATGTAACTGCTACGTACAAGGCATGTTACATCGCAGTTACATTGTTACTGTGTGTTTACAAAAAAACTGTCAAATGTTTTTGTTTACTTTCGAGACTTGTAAAAGATGGTTTCGGGAATTTTGAGACTCACTTTTAAGACTGCTTACAATTTTATCGTTAAAAAGTAAATTGTGTGTGTATCAACTTTTTTTAAAAACTACACCTTATAAATTATAAAGTGACAACACCACTATTCCGCTCTTTTGATGCTTATTGCAGTCGGCTTACGGTTGTAAAAGTGCCAAATAATTAATAATATTTTAATGTATAATAAAGTAACAAATAGGTAAGTATATATTATTGTGTACTTTTTATTCTTTTCCTAACATTTTAATTGCAAATTAATGTCCAGCACAGAACTTTTTATCTACCCTTCTTAGCTAAAATATCCTATCTAGCATATCGAAAGAATTGAAAAACCTAAGGTTTTATTTTTTTGTTTGTGTCATCAGCAGGTAGGACAACTAAGTTAAATACTTTTTAGACGTCTATAAAGCCTTTAGGACTTTCTAGCTTTATTTAGAAGATGGAATATGTGTAGAACTTCCAATATATTTTAAAAACTGCAAAAATGTGAAATAGGATATTTTAACTAAGAACCGCAGTATAATAATCCATACAGCATAGAAACTTGTAGTTACATTGCAGGAATATTGCAATATTGCAAATTGCACAGTACTATTTCTGTAACATTTATTGTAACGTATAATATATATTTCGGCGTAAGATAATAGCAAGATTGTAAAAATGTTGCAGAAACATTGCAAAACATTGCACATAACTTATAGTTGTGTTCACAAGACGCAACAGTCATTAATTTTTTGAGAAATGAATTTACTTATCAGATATAGAAATATCATCACATCATACATAACTTTTATATTTCAATAATTTCGGTATCGCAATGTTCGCATTGAATGCATTGTACATTCGCTGTCACTGTCGCGCATACGCGGAAAAGGATCTTGCCTGAACACGTTGATTGTACTGAGTGTGCTGAGTTATTTTTACTGGGCTCTGTCTTTAGTTTATTTTTCGTTGATTACGTTGAGATATATATTGTATAGACGTTGTATAAGGCAAGGCATAATTGGAAGAAAAAGCAAAGATAAAATAACTAAGTAAAATTATTCTTTAATTATGTTTAACTACTTTGAGATTATATTGTATTTTTTGACTTTTGTATTTGAATTCCCCAGTTTATTTCCTGTTGCAGACTGCCTTGCTTACAATAGTTTTACAAACTGCTTTATATAACACTATTGATTTGTGACATATCATTTGATAAGTTTGTAAACTACTTCTACATTGCAAAATACTTTTGTATAATATTGACACTTGTATTTTAATTTTAATTTGTTTTCTTTAACAGATTGCCTTATAACAAATTGTCTATTTGTAGGATATTAGAAACTTTTAAAAAAATAAATATAAATTGAATATGTGTATACTATGTACATATGTACTGTAAATTATATTTAATAAAAATAAGAGAAATATTTTTATTTATTGTTGCAGATATATTGCGCTGCAATATGAACATGATATTGCAACGCAATCTTGCTAAAGACGGACATTTTTATATTGCTTTTTACATTGTATTCATATTGCATTTACATTGCGCAATTACTTTGCAATATTACAATATTGCAATAAAGATATGTTTGCAATCTTTTTGCAATCTTTCTGTGCTGTATGAGAAGGTTTGTATTATTTATGCACTTCCCAGGAAAAAATGGATTAGATCTAACTTAAATTTAACAAGATAAAAAAAAGGAAAAATAGATCTAATTAGATCTAAATTAAATCTAAATAGATATAAAGTAGATCTAAATAAATATAAGTAGATCTATTAAATTTACACTTTTATATATTATTAAATCTACTTTAGATCTACTCAAATCTACTATATTAAAACTATTCAGATTTACTTAGATTTAAGCAGATCTGAACAGATATGAGGTGATCTAATATAATAGATCTGAGTAGATCAAAAGTAGATCTAATAATAAATAAAAGTGTAAATTTACATAGATTTACTTATATTTATTTAGATTTACTTTATATTTATTTAGATCTACTTTATATCTATTTAGATTTAATTTAGATCTAATTAGATCTATTTTTCCATTTTTTTATCTCGTTAGGTTTAAATTAGATCTAATCCATTTTTTCTCGGGTTGGTTGTGGTCAGGTTATCAACTTATCGTATTTTGTGTTTATATAATAACTAAATAAATATACTGTAACTGTGTTTGATAAATTATTTGTTGAATATCAATAATAATTATCGTTGCATTGTATTAGCAGTTTTGAGGTTATAATTAGCAGTTTTAGAAAGAAGTCTGTTTTTTTTCTTATGTTGTCTAATGAGTTCTTCATTATAAGAAAAAGATTTTAGTTCAGTTTTAGGAAAGAAAATTGAAGTACTTTATGTTGTTTAGTAATAAAAGTACTATATTATTTCTAATATTGTAATTTTCTTTTTGTTACTTTGCCTTCACAGTGCAATCACATTAATTTGTATTGAATGTCTGACTGGAAGTATTGATTAACGTAATATTTTGAATTTGTTTAACTCATTGACTATTGAGCTTGTAAGTGAAATGTAAGCTCAAAAAGTTTTTAAAATTCTACTTTAGTAAAACAGCGAACAATTCATACTGCGTTTTATATTTTTATTATATCTTTAATTTCTTTATATTTTAAATTGTAATTTATTATCTGTAACTATTACTTTATCACAAAACTCTAATCTCGAACGAGTCTCGGAATTCCAGGAATTTCAAAATTCGCCTAAAGTCTCGAAATTCAGTCCCGGGATTTCAGACTGTAATCAAGACTGGATGTTCTAATTATATGTACATCATCTACAACTCTTTGTAAAAGCTATCTTTGTGTTAATATAAAAATATAGTACTTTTTTTGTTTGTAGCATTTTCTCTCTATGTTTGGAGGAAGACATCACATTTGCATAGTTTTATGTTTTATTTAGTTATAATCAGATTAATAGATAAAAGTCGAAAATTTTATCTTTTGTTGTTAATTATGAAAAATTGTTTTATTCAATAAAACGACACTCATTGTCAAATGTATCATTGTCTTTTTTAAAATTGCAACAAACAGGTTTAAATGTGGCATCTTACTCCGAGGTATCCTATATATCTCAATTGAAATTTTTTTGCAATTTTAAATCAATTTATTGTTTCTTGGATACTAATTTTGTTTTTTTATTCTAATTCGGTTGATATTAATGATATATACACATACATACAAACATACGTGAGGATGTGACTTCTAAAACTGGCAGCCATTTTCATCTGCGTAGAAAACAGCTTTTTGCTTGATACAGCAACGTAGATAACAACGATCTGTTAGCAGAACGTGCAACTCGGTTTGCAAGTCGAAAGAAGGTAGCAGCCCTCGACGCGTAAAAGAGAGTATGACTGCTTCAACGTAGCGGCACATCTCGTTATCAGGAAGGTGCGAGGAGCCTCTTCCTCTTTAGCGCCGCCACCTGATTGCACTGCAAACATAACCGCTCTGCTACCAGCTCGTGCCACGACTCGTTAGCACATCTTTTTGATCATCCAATGATACCGCGAACACCGCGAGACCGCGATCAGGTTCGGTGCTTCCTAAAATTTAATTGCCAGATTTATATCAGATTGATACTTCTTCTTTCCCTGACAGGTTTCTCTTTCAAAGCGGAAAAAATAGTCGGATTAGCGATATATGGTTTTTATCGGTTTTAACATAGGTTTTATTTGTCATATCAAAATAATATTTGACCGATAATTCGCAATTTATAATAATTCAGCAACACAATTTGACAGACTGTGGAAATTTAAACCTTATTAAAAAGAAAAACATATTACGACGAAAATGATATATTATATAATGTCCATTTTTTTCTGGAATAGAACGAGACAATAAGATTGTTGTTATATTTTTAGCTCTTCCTGATAAAGTGCAAGATGGTTCGTATTTTAATGTACGTAAACTCGCGAGGTCGTGTCAGCTTCGCGTCACTCGTATAATTAACGCGTTTCGACTAATCTATGTACAAACCTGACGACAAACTGAACGTCGTCATGTGGAGCGAGATCGTTTTTGTGTTTTATTTACTCAGATGACATTTTCACCCGTCATTACAAGCAACTGCTTAAACAGTCATTGATTCGGTGATTGCAGCGTGAAAGCTGTTAAAATTTAATCCGGATTCGCTCTCCGTATTTTTAACATGCTTTCTTATTCAAAAAACGATCTCGATAAAAGTATGCAAATCTGTATTCTTATTCTTATTTTTAATATATTGAATTAAAAAAATATTATTGTATAATTAATATTTTATCATTTAAATTTTGCATATAACAAAAGACTGTTGATAAAATGCCTTTTGAACAAGATAAAATCTCTGTAAATTGTATCTCTATAAACTTAAAAAGTTGATTCTAACTTATTACATTTTTTGTCTGTTTTTTTCCTTCTTCTTTCATACAAAACTAAAACTTCAAGATTTTTTTTTAAAACAACATACTCTATAAATGTCTCAAAAATGTGGAATGCCCGCGTTTTCTCTATTACTTGATAAATGATGGTACATGCGAGATATCGTCTTTGATAGAGTCGCGATTGCGCGTCTTATCAGTGTGCGCAATGCGATAAGGCGATAACGAAGTAACTCAACTCTGATATTACCAAAAATCATCTCGACAATAACTCCCCGAGTAGTAAATTTTCATAAATTGTGGCAGACGTGGAAGTTATTCGTTCTCTCTCTCTCTCTCTCTCTCTCTCTCTCTCTCTCTCTCTCTCTCTCTCTCTCTCTTTCTTTCTCTCTCTCTCTTTCTCTCTCTCTACTCTCTTTCTCTTTCTCTTTCTCTTTCTCTTTCTCTCATTTGCTCTCTCTATCTTTAAGAACACCACGCTTTGCAGTGGTGATTGTCGGTAGGCTGCATTAATTACAAATCGTGTTAATTTACAAGTGGACGTAGAATCTTTGCCGGTAGTTTACACACTTGCATTATGTAATCAATTTTAGTCTATACATGGTCGTTGCGTACATCTATTTCTCTTTGCGATATAGATGACGACGAGATATTCCTCTATTACGAGGCACAAAATTGTGTCATGATGTATTTCCTTGAGAAGAAGAAAAAAATAACGATAGCTACACGATATGATAATATTGCCGAGCGTCAATTAGCGAGGAAGCATAATCGGATCGACACCTGTGTTAATTAAAGACTGAGCTGAACTATTGAAGCATTATTATCTTGACGCAATATTATCGAGAACCGATGTATGTAATATTCCGTGGATGATACAACTATATATCATATTTTCGGTGATATAACGAAGTTTTTAACACACGCTTATCCGTGAGATAAAAGAAGTAAAGCGAGTTATAATTCAGTAAAACGTCTTTTGGTTTGTAGTAAAGATGTTTATATGATTTGCGAAAAATTACACAACTCTAATGAACTTATAAAATTATTAAAAATTTAATTATTAAAAAATTACTTATATAATTAATATATTGTGTTTAAGCAATTATAATTGAGATATTTTCCTCAAGTACTCTTCAATTAGTATTATTGAGTTAGATGTAAAGAAAATATTTTTTATAATTTAAAGTAATTTATTAAAATTATTAAATTATTTTTTTAAGAATTGTGTCTGTTTTTTAATATTATCGTAAAATTCTTATTGCATTTTGGAACATAATGTTCTTTATTCAAAGCTGTTGCATCACGTCAAAAAAATGCGCATGCCGAAGTTGATTTTGTTGTTACATCCTGCGATTATATGCATAACATTTACATCAAATGTTTCAAATTTTATTTTTACTTTATGTACAACAGAATAAAAAATATTTAGTCGAATACACTAAAAATATTACTTTTTCAGGTTATCTTACGTTACGTAAAGACAGAAGATAATTTTGTATCCCTTTCACGCGCGCGCGTGTACACACACAAGTATATAATGAGTGATAAATAGCGTTAATTATCTTTTATACCGATATAATAATAGATATTAACATGATTTTAAAAAATGCATTAAACTTGGAATGTTAGTAATATTTTTTAGTAAATTATCCTAATTTAATTGGCAATTTTTAATTTCAATGACAAGTTCTCTATACGACAAACACCGTTTTATATTTGTTAGTTCAGTTGTTTCATTACATTTTCACATATTATATATGTATTACCAAATATTTTGACGTATTACACATAACTTTACCGAACATTAATGAGTTGTTACACAGAAACAGATTGCAAAACAGCAATTTGCATATCTGTTTCATACAGTGAAGTTACCTTAATGAGCTTCAAAATTTTTTCTCTGCAAAACGAAAGTTATATCCGGATTGAATACGTTAAACTTGCAATCTAATTTTTTTAATTCACATCGTGAAGATACGTAAATACAAAAGGAGCGTAAAGTTCTTTCTTTTTTTATATCTTTTCTTGAATATCAATAGCAACAATTAGCCAATGTTTTTTGCAAAAAATATCTTGACAAATTATTAGGATTGACACATAAATGCCGAAATTATCATTCCCATAAGCTGACAAGTAGAGACGGCCTCGCGCGGCTGTACGTTATGTAACTAAAGTGGAGCGTATATATATATATGTACATATATGTACGTACACTTCGTATTGCTCCGAGCGTGCAATTGTTTTGTCAAATTTGCACATGAAAAGACACGCAAGCGAATGGAAACAGATATATTTTCAATGTTTTCAAAAAAAAGAAGAAGTAATCTCTCGTGAAGAATCTCAAAATCAAAAAGTTTTCCGGTCGTCTTCCTTGATCGAAATATGCCAATCGATATAAAGTTTTCTGTGTCTCTTTATCTTGTGATCACTTCTACACTTTTAAGACATGAAAATCTAATACAAACAAAGTGCGAGAAATATATAAAACATAAGAACTTACATTAATGTTTATATTTTTTCTCTAGTATCCCTTTTTGATTTCGAAACTAATTCCGCGTCGTCGTTCGGCGCAATCCATTTGCTTACCTGTGTAAGAAAGTTGATCGAACCAGAATCAATCCGTCTGACGTTGCGAAAGATCCCTCGGTTTCCGGAGAATCTGAAGACGGAATCGGTGACGATGGCGGGAATGAACTGGATAATATATTACGGGCAAAAATTCACGACAAATGACTTGACGGAATGAACAGACGAAGGAGGTTCAAGAACGAGTGACGTGGACGTCCCGCGGTGTCGACTCATATACTCTATCCGCGCCGATCTGACGTCACAGGCGCGTTTCTTATCAGCCAAAAGGCTTAACACCTGTAAAGCCCACACCTGTCGGCGGTAAGCTTAAGCGTCGTCGGAAACACGCTCAGCTCGCTTCATGATGACGATGACGATGGACAACATACGTTTTCATGATCCACGGGATTGTCGGTGTCTGTACATATACTTTGATATTGCGTGACGCTCGATTTTGTCACTTAGAATATGGATCAGGTGTCATAGGACAGCACTGTAATTTAAAACTACAGTCTCTTATCTGTTTTATTGAAAATGTGAATCGAGAGATTATGTTACAATTAACATTTGAAGATGTTTTTCGGGTTTGAACCGCGTTAGTGTCATTTTTATACCAAAATGTTTTGTGAATATTTTAGCTCACTTCATCAGGGTTTCAAGATCCTGATACTGTGTTACAATAACAAATCTTACAAATATATAAATCAGTTATTTAATAATATATTAAATAAATATTAGTAATTAATCTTATACTTATTATTAAATTAAATATAATAATAATTATAAAATTATTTATATAATATATTATAAATAGTAATATATTATAATATATTATAAATAGTTATATGTTATAGAGTTATTATTAATTATTATAGTTAATATAAAATATTAATTTATTTAAAAATCAGCGATATGATTAATGTGAGTCTGAACGCTTTTCAATTCACTTAAGATATATAAAAGTGTTATAACAAACTTTAACCGAAATTACTTTTCAAAATCCAAACGCATTATCTCCGGATGATTGATTTTGTAAAATTTTTCATGTAGAACCGTGCACATTGATTTACAGAATAAATTAGATTTACAGAATAAATTCTTTCGTTGAACATCATTTTCAGAAATTAATATTACAGGATATTTCTTATTTACTTTGTGCACTTTTAATAAACAGAAATTACGTAATCTTTTTTCTGTAAAATTCTATTTCTTTATATTCTTATCTTTAAAATACATATATATTTAAATCTTGCGCTCTTGCATAAATTATTTCTACCACGACCGAGAAGATTACAAAAAATACGATAGAACTTGGTCATTGGTTAGAGTTTTCCAAGAAGCAGAATATATCTGTAGGCTTGTACATTGCTTGTTGATGTGTGAAACGTTATGTAAACAGATATCTAATACAGAAAAGATGTTATTGTGATAAACTGTACAGCGCTATAAATGGGACATCGAAAAGTTCAGTTCACCAACAATAGAAGTTTTTAAGGCACAATATATATGTATACATATTTCATATATATGCATATGTATATATATGTATGTGTGTGTATATACATATAAACAACAAATCGCATACATCTGACGACTTTTATAGTAAAAAGTCACTGTAATTATAAAAGTTATTTGGATAAAATAGATGTGTGTTAATTAATTTTATTCGTATTAGTACACAGTACATATTATTTAGCTAAAAAATAATATTTTTACAAATCTAGATTATATCTCCAATAGGCAAATTGTGAAAATATTGCACAAAAATGGCATCATAAATGACGACGATTTTACAATGATTGTACACAGCGCGTCACTGAATCGCGGAATAGGCGCGGGATCGGAATGCAAGCGGGGCGATCGCTCGCCAACAAGCGCCGTACGAATCGTACGGCCCGCTTGCTCTCCGATCCCCGCGTCTATTCCGCGATTCAGTGACGCGCTGTGTACTAAGATGATTCGCCATACCACAACAGTTTTGCCTAAATAAAATTTTGTAAATAATATTTCAAAAATTACGAAAGAGTCGTTATGCATTTCCATAAGTATGAATTAATTTGATTTCTTCATATGCAATTATATTTCTACATATTTTAAACATCACATAGCTGAAATTTTTTTCTCAATTATTGGACAATTTCTTTTTGAAATTAATTTTGCAAACATACGGTTAAGATTATTCGCCATATTGTTATTGTTTTGCCAAAATGGTATTTGAAAATACGGAAATTGGATTAATTTTGCAAATAGTTACAAATATTTTATAAAAGATCAATATTTTTATATCTATTTCTCAAAATATATCTATATAATTGCAAATCACAATTTTCATGCAAGATTTTGTCACATAATTTCATAAATGTTTTTCTTGTGGGGATCATAATACGTTTTACAAAATTTGTTTAAGTCTAGACACGAGCAATTTTCGAAATAATATTGCGTGCGTATATTTTAATAAACATTTTTTTTACAAATCTTTCGGTTCTTTTGACTTCCGAATAAAGAATCGCATAGCGTAACGAGAATTGCCTTTGCCGTGTTCTCGAGAAGCTTTTGCTTCTCTAAAAATGAATTCGCGGTGTCGCCATGTGCGATATCAATGGCAAGCGAGTAAACGAGTAGTTGGTCGAGGCAACACATCACGAGCGTTGAGACGACAAGAGGAGAAACGACTTGTGCGGTAGAGACAAAACTGTGAGTTTTACTCCAACGGTGTCACGCGGGTTTACGTGGAGGCGTTGCACCTTATCTTAGTGTCCTAGTTACATCATCACGCCGCGGCTTTGTTGCCGCTACATCTACGTATTCCGATTGTAGCGATCGCCTCGTGTGTTCATCATGAGAACATACTTTTACTTTATCTCACAGAAAGTTGGTTCTTCAAAATAGACAGATTTACTTCCAATTGCATCAGGTTCATTTTCTATATTATCGCTTTGTATCATCTTTTTTTATGTTAAATGATTATTGGCGACGAATTGTTTGTTTTTGGGGATATAGTTCCGAATGGCCCCTGCTCCCGATCGATCTGAAATTTTGCACAAAAATAGTGTTCAATGGGACAAACAAAACGCGCGTAATCCCACTTTGGGAAATGAAAAACAAATTTAAAAAAATAAAAACTATATGGACTAAAATCGATTGTAAGTGTATTTCAGAATGATTCTTTTTCTTGATCAATCTGAAATTTTGCACCAAAATAATGTTTAATGAGACAAATAAAACGCGCGTAGTCCCTACTTCGAGAAATGAAAAATATTTAATATAAGTAATTACTACATATAGAATCGCGCGATTTTAGTCGACAAAGTTTTTATTTTTTTTAAATGTTTTTCATTTCTCGAAGTATAAGGGTCAAAGATGACACCAAACAACATTCAAGCAGGCTTTAGATGTACGGGCATATTTCCGTTTAATAAAGANATATTTTCTGACAAAGATTTTGCACCAAGTTTTATTACTGATAGGCCGCTTCTTGAAGAAAATAAGTAAGTAAAATATTAATTACATAATATCTTATTACTGTAAAATATAATGTAATAATAATTAAATAATATATAATAGAGTATATTACAATAGTAATTTAATAA